ATATACTAAGAACATTAATATTAACAGTAATAAGACTTCATACTACTGCGGTACATTCAAAACTGTGATAATAAATAGTCTTGCATGACTTTATTTTCCGTATCACCACAACTGCTGAATGCTTATTGGGTTTTCTTTTCGGGTCATGCAATGAAGAAGTTTTTGTTTAATTCTAAACACGATATGCTTGGTGTATATAATCCTTGGTGTATATAGTACCGTATTTATAGACACAATTAAAGAACAATAGGTTGCGGTCACCGGTGTCCTCGAGGTGTTTGATAGTTTAAGTGGAATCTCGAACTTCAGTCACTGCTGTTATCAATCATACACATGTATGACAATCCTGAATAACCAGATTTTATACCACGATAAGTATAAGCAAATGATACACAAAATCTATTGTTAGCGAACATTGAGTAGATGTCACTATTTAAGCCTTTAACTGCCGACAAAAACTATTAAAGGCCAATCCTCCGCTAGCGTCGGACATCATTTTCCGACACGACATCCAATGTGTCCATCTAACTACCTTTAGAAAATACAATTATTTTAATGAACTTCTCAAGAACTGAAATTTATATTTTTTCAATTTCAAGTTTGTAACTGCCTTGAGCAATATTCATCTTTACATTTATAATAACTATCGTGAGACATAGTAAATTAAGTAAAAATCGCGGGTTACTCGCGAATGTCGAGCAGCCTACTGTCATCGCCGCGACTGCGCACGCTGCTAATGAGGAAGAACTCCTCTGTGGTTCGAAACTAGCTGAGCTTTCTCAGTACATTCACGTGAGTAACCTGCGATTTTTAGTTAATTTTGATCTTTGTTTGTTTAAGAACATTATAGAACGTACTTACATGGGTGCAGGTATATTTCTTAAACACATTTTTTTTAAACATATCCCCACATTAGGATTACAGGATACAAGTTCACATACACAATGACACCCAGACCCGAAACAACAATTTGTGGATCACACAAAGTGTTTTTCCGTGCGGGAATCGAACCCGCGACACGTTGCACGGCAGCCGGTTGCCCAGCCACCGCACCAACCGTGCAGTCAAAAACTATTATATACTATCTATAACATTTTCGCATAGCATATAAGCACGCCAGTTGAAGAGACGCCAAAAATACTTCAAAATACACTGAATTAACGATTCCCAAACTGGATAAGACCTAGAGACCACCCAACCGGGAGTGTTTGGTAGCTAGTGACGTAATTCGCGTTATCACAGCCCCGCGCTGATAAGCACATTAATCCCGGAGCTTTCCCTGTCCCGGGACTTGAAGTGTTTGTCTATGGCGAGCACCTCACACGATGTGGTTTGACTTTTAAATCCTTGGACTATGAAATTTTTGAATTATTCACTAAGTAGATTATTTCGTTGTCCAGATTACATTTGGTCTTGTTGGTCATTTAGTTGCAACGGTGATAATGCAATTAGGGATTTCGCTGGTTGATTTCCGAGTGGAGCAAAATATTTTTGAGATATTTACGGACTACCTCGTTGGCCGAGTGGTCGTAATTGTGTGACTGCTTGGCAAAAGTAATACTGGATTAAAAAAAAATCTAAGTACCTAATAGCACGAGTCTGAAAATGTGCCCGGTATAATGGCAATAGGCTCACCCTCTATTACATGGGACTCATAACATAAATAGTGAAAAGTGGGTGTTACATGGTACAGTGGCATTAAGCGCCGTAATGTGCACCTCTGCCTATCCCTTCGGGGATAAAAGGCGTAATCTTATGTTAGATATGTAATATTTTCGGCTTATATCTCTTTCGGCTTATAGCTCACTACAAAACACTGAAATATTTCAGTACAATTCGATAGCTCGTAGTTTGGTGTTGTGCCCAGAGTGTGACACTAGGCTCACCCCCTAATAAAGGACACGAATTAACCTTATAGGTAAAGAGTTTAATGAAGTTCATTGCATCATCTAATTAAATTATATAGTAAGATAAGTGAGAAGCCATGCTTCGGCACGAATAGCCGGCCGGCTCGACCGAAGTGATACCACGGCCTCACAGAAAACCGACGTGAAGCAACGCTTGCGTTGTGCCTTCATCCTTATCCTTATTATATAATATTATAAATTTGAAAGTGAGATTGTTTGTTTGTTTGATTGTTTGTTCCATCTTCAGTCCGTAACTACTCAACCGATTGCTTTGAATTTTTGCAGACGTAAAGTTTAATTAAATAATAGGGTAATTTTTAACCCGGAAAAATATATATTCCCGAGGAAAAACAAAAGTATTGGTATAGATGGCGTTGTGTGTATTGGTATATGACACATAGGCTACTTTTTATTCCTTTGTGACGCGAGCGAAGCCGCGGGTAAAAGCAAGTAGTTTTATAAGTCATTGTTGCAGACCTTTTTCGACGTAATAAAAATTCACTTTCACTGCAAAATTATTTAAAGAATAAAGACAGGATCATTTTCATTTTACTAACCTCTTGTATGCTGAAAGTTGCGGGTATACCTAATGTGTTTTATACCGGGAGCCGGTATTTCAACAAGTAAAAGGCTAACTGAAAGTTGACCATGAATAATCTAAAAGCTGCCATTATATATAAATTGTTTGGAGATATGAAATACATAGTTATTTTCAATTAAATAAATAATGTTTTAATTTGTTACATTTTTTTAAATAAGAATATGAGTATAAGGTCTGATTTTTTCTTTGACCTTGTCTTCAGTTTCTTTTTCCATGAATATTTTTTTCATAGTTTTTACTACCAATTTAACTTAACTTTCCGATTTGCCTAATTTGGCTGTAACGGGGTTCAGGATTAATTGAAAAACAGTTTGAGAATGAATAATTGTGACATACGTAGTAAGTAGTTACTTAAGTAGGTGTACAAAATTATGTATACCTAACAACTATGTACGCAAAACTATAAAGCGATGTAAATATATATACCAAGTGCAAGAAATTACATGGAGTTTTCCTAATTTCCCTAGAAATACGTACTGTTATATATTTACAATATATAATGCAATAATTATTATAGCAAATAGCTTCACTTTTTTGTTTTTTGTTGACGTTCAAAAGTGCCATTCTGGCCTAATTGAAATAAATGATTTTGACTTTGACTTTATTTATCGTGTGAATTAAACAAGCTAGTCAGAAACACAATTTTTTTTCAGAAACACACTTATACATTTTTCAAAACAAAAGAACGTAAAACGTTTTCCTATTCAAGTGGCCAGCTTGCCACAGATAATATAAACATATATAATACGTATGTACCGAGTTCGAAATACAAATAAAAAACTAAAAGCTCTGTTGCAGATTTTTTTAAAGTTATGATCATCTTACAGTATATATCCAAAAAATATTAGTTTAGGTAATTACTTTCCTTTATATTCAAGGATCAATTTCGCACTTGTAACTACTAGTGCAGATGAACGAACGACGATGGCGGAACGGAAACAACACATGTTGAATGATAATAAAGAAAACAAAAAATATAATTCACATTATTTATATTTCTCCCTTAAAAATATGATTGTTACCTTACACAAAATAACTACAGTTTATTATAACATTTAGATACATTTTGTGGCCCTTTTTGAAACCAAACCAGTTATTTTTTACAAGAAATATTGCAATCGGCTTTAAAAATGGTGGAAGGCGTTGTTGATTTGGCTAATTTATTCTGCTTAAAAGTTAGGATTAGAGAAATTGATATGAAAATTATACTGGCACAAAACACTGTCAAACAATTTAAATTTCGAATAGGTAGAATCCTATTGTTATAAAAAAGGTAAAATAGAAAAAAAATTTAGAACTCAATTTTGAATTAGGAAAAATTTGAATGCTTTTTTAAGAATGAGTTGGCATTTTTATTGTTTTTTTTTTAAACAAATATTGCGCCATTCTTCTTCTCACCATCACCGCATTTAATGTCGACTGAAGATCATAAATTACAATAGTAATGATAATATTTACATTAGGACTTAGATAATACTTACATTATACAACTCGACACTACTTTGTACATAGAATGACTAGACTTATTTATAGATCACTATCTCTTCGATTTAATTACAAAAAAAAAACTTTAAAATATTTTTTATCGTACATTTTTGTTTGTTTTTTTTTTAATGTAGTAGTTACAACGGTCTATTTCATTTGTTTCTTTCTAATTTTGAAAGGAAATTATTTATAACAGAGAATGATCGTGTGTGTTTTAATAAAATACCTATAAAAAGCATTTAACTCATTTTGAAAACAAACAAAAAAAAAACGTTTTTTAAAAATCTGCGATGTTATATTAAAATTCAAACCGTCATTTACGATTAAATAATAATTTACATTTCAATAAAGAAAGATGTTCTAGATTATTTTCATTTAAATATTTCATGAAATAACTGCACACTATTGCCAACTGGAAACAACGCACACACTTCGCGGCAAAATGTATAATTATGAAACTGTAAATTTCCAAATTAAACATTCAGCAATAATTATCGTTCCAAGTAATTTACATAATTTTATACAATTGTTTAGCGTATATCACTTTACGAACACCTCAATCTTATTGGAAACACATCAGTCAATCGGCGAGGATCACGTGTCCGACGCACGGGACGAATTAGAACGGGGATGGACTGGAACCGTACCCGTTTAGATACATTCATCTGGCCCAGTCGTCCGGCGGACAATTGCTCTGGTGGAGAGGCGAGAACGCACTTCTCCTCGGCTCCGAGTTCATTGAACTGTCCTGGGAACCGATAATGGACTCAATCGAGAATCCGTTTCGAGATCTCTTACTTCGTGGCTCCGTGGTCTCCGCGACCCGCGGCGGCAGCGGCACCGGCCGCAACGTCGCCGGCGGCGGGCGCGGCAGCGACAGCAGCGGCGTCGGCGGCAGGTAGCACGGCAGCGGCAGCAGCGGGGCGTACGCTCGCGCGCCAACATCGCCACCACCGCGTGCGCGTGCTGCAGCGACGGAGCCGGCCGCTTGTACCGCTTCCTTCTCCTCAGGAAACTCCCATTGTCAAACATATCTTCCGCCAGGGGATCCAGCGTCCAATAATTTCCCTTCCCTGGGTTTCCAGGTTCCCTCGGGATTTTTATAAAACAATCATTCAGACTCAAATTATGCCTGATGGAATTCTGCCACGCCGGAAACTTTTCTCTGTAGTACGGGAACCTAGTCATGATAAACTCACAGATACCACTGAGCGTTAGTTTCTTGTGTGGCGACTGCAGGATGGCCATGGTAATGAGTGCGATGTAGGAGTAAGGCGGCTTGATGAGCTGTGACGAGGATTTCTGCTTCGGCTTCTTTGGCGTGGATGGTTTGGATTCCGTCGGACTGGAGGCGTCGTACCTCTCCGAGTCGCTGGACGCTGGCGGCACTTCAGGCGTGTCTTCATCCACGGAAACATAGGTGTCGTCCTGGGGGTAGTCGGGGTCGCGGTCGTCGCGCAAGTAGTGCGGAAGGTAGAGCCGCGGCGGTGGTCGCAGGTCCAACGGCAGTTCGCCCTCGATGATCATATCGCGGTATTGGGCAAGATCACAATCTTCCATGCTTTCGGTCACATGTCAGAGGTGCGCTGTGTCGCGTGTCGCGGCGCGGACTGCGACTTCGCCCCCGAGTGCGGAGGCTCTGCCCCCGAGGACTCCGCCCACGGGCGCACCCCGCGCCCGCCCCGCCCCGCCCCGGCCCGCGTTTACGTTCCACTAAACACAACAATTGTCGTTATTATTACTGCGGGTCGGAGCTTTGTGCATGAATTTCAGGCCGTCGACTAATAATTATTAGGCCGCTTCGCGTCTATCGATTCGACTTTGTTGTGGTATTTATTTTTAGTTCAGTTAAACGGTTGTTGTAGTTCCATTGCTTCGGTTGATGTATTTTATTTTATCGTTACGTTATCGTTAGTGCTGGTATTGAAGTAAGTAGGTACCTATCGATTGATTGATGAATGATTTCAGTTTCCCTACAGTTTCAGATTTTTACGTCTGGTTTAACCAGTAATTTCGTAAGACTACCTACTAGTAATATAAATACTCTGGTGAACCAAATTAAGATCTACTTAATAAAAGAAACAATTAATTGCATTCATACTATCCTGCAAGTCCAAAACAAAGAAACGTTAGATAAAACCCCATAAACAAAAGATCAAAGTTCTGAACCCATTCAAATGCAAACAGAATCCCACACGTCACAAATAAAAGTGTTTACAAAGACATCCTCATCCCGTAATCCGTTAAAAGACTCGCGTATTGAAAAAAAATCTCATAAAACGAATTCTAGAACTCCATTCAGGTAGATATCTTCAAATAAAAGTTGCGTAAAAAATATTCGTGAAAGCAGCATGACAATGCGAGCGCGGTACTAGAAAACCCTCGTATATGTTTCCTACCATAACATTTACCCCTCGGGCGTTGAGGGAAAAGCTACACGGGGGAACGAGATGGAAGACAGCGATGACAGAGACAGAGATAAAAGTAGACCAATCCGCGGCGAGATTCCGCTGGGCGGAGCTCCCAAAAGCTAACATGTCAGGGCGTGGCATTAGATCCTATTATTGTCTGGCAAGGCAAATAATATTTTGCACAATGTACACACTGGGGTAAGGGGGTGTTCAAGGGGGGTTGCTAATTTATTCCCAACTTCGGTTAAGGCTTGTTTTTCAGCTTTGCGAGCCTGTTATTTAAATTGGACTCGGTCGGTTATTTGTATGTACCCGTCTGAAGGCATTGTTGGCTTTAATGAACGAATTTTCGCGGGATTCCGTTGTACTGAATTTGTGATACAAAGTTAGGATTTGGTGAATATTTTTGCTTACTTGTGTTGAGCGCTTTTTGTTATAAACGTTATTTATTTTGTCGCGGCTTTCGAATTGTTCGTGGTGATGGTGAGACGTAGTTTTATTTATGTATAGTCACTCTGAATATTGACGTCCTACCTTTTAATATCGCTTGCTTTTGTGTACGCAGTTAGATATTTAGAGAATTAAACTTTATTGAATTTTAATCTTTTGTTTTAATATTTCACTGGAAGTATTTATTGTAGACTCATGACATAGTTTGGTGTCGTTTAGACTTGGAATATGTAGAAATAAGGAGAAAGAAGAACAATGAGTATGTTACTGAATCCAGTGTTGGATCAAGACGTAAATTCTTTGGAAGGTATCTACTTTAGACTATTGGACCAGATGAGGGGGTGCAGGTACCCAAGTGAGTTTAAAACACGTCTTGACTTCTTTAAATTTCAAAATTCTTCTAATGTACCTACTTGAATTTGTGTTTAGACATCTAACTACGGTCGACATTATATTTTCATAACTATTGTGTCTTCTAATTCATTTCATTGTAGTTTTCAAGGTTGATCGTGTTCTCCAAACGCTACACATTGGCTTTTATTGCTTCGACGTTTCTGTGGTTGGTCTTTCCTGTAGATCCTGACTTAGGTACAGGAGTTGCAGTGGTTTGATTAATTTTCAAGTGTTCCCACACTTGAAAAGTGCCATGCTTCGGCACGAATGGGCCGGCTCGACCGGAGTGATACCACGGCCGAGCAGAAAACCGACGTGAAGCAACGCTTGCGTTGTGTTTCGTCGTGTGAATGAGGTTACCAGAGGCCCAACTACCCTCCCCTTCCCCAATCTCCCCAATTCCTGAATCCCCAACGATCCTCAAACTCCTAATCCCCAAAAGGCCGGTAACGCACTTGTAACGCCTCTGGTGTTCCAGGTGTCCATGGGCGACGCCGATTGCTTAACATCAGGTGATCCGTCTGTTCGATTATCATATACCATAAAAAAATCCTTTTTACCACCCGTCTTTTACGAAGCCGCGGAGGACTTAACGGGTCGCCGGCGCTCCGGCTCGAAGAGCAGGAGTCAGAACAGGGTGGTTTTTAGTCAGTAAGAGTCTTATACTCTCTCTAGCCTAATCCAAGGCGGGTGAAGTCATTGGATGATTTTACCCCTCAAAAAAAACATTCTTTGACATTCACTTTCAAAGTAATTTCAGATTCTAGTCTTATCTAAAGACTAAATGGTTACCCTCGTTTCTTTTTTCCCTTAGATTCTTCTGTTGATACATAAACATTGATGAACTCACTTGTAGGTAGTTCTTTACAAGTGAAACAAGTGAATTTATTTGTGCAAATAGGCTACAAGGCAGCACTTTTACACGTCAATTTTATCAAGCGAACGATGAGGTCGACATTTCCTAACTGACTACTCTGAGAAGAAATGCCGAAACAAACTCAGAGGTCTGTCTCTTTTCTTCTCATTCTTCTTCCTGTCCTTATCCTGATCTTCCCAAGAAGATCCCTTAGAAGTATACACTCCAAAGTGTATACAATATGTCTTCTTTTGTGACCGCTGCTGTGTACCCCGTTACGTGTTGAATACTTGCATTGCATCGGGGTTATATTGCTAATGAATTTTGTTATTAAATAAATAAATTTAGCAGTATTTAAGTCCATGTATGAAAGGGCTTAAGAGGAGAGATTAACAGCACGGAATTATTAAATGTGCCGAGTACTGATCATGCGAGAATGTTGTTCAATTTCATGGCTCTGATTCATTGATCTCTAGTTGATTTATACACTCGTTAGGCAACGATGTGACTGACATACGCTGTGCGGTTTGAAAATCCCTAAAATTAAAAAGGAAATAAAAAAGCACGGAATTTTTAGTTAAACCTGGTACACGGAATAGAATCATCATTTAGTTATCACATGGGTAGCTTAAATGGTGAAATTTCGATGTAAATAGGTACATTAAATGTGTGCACTTACCTTTTGGGAATAAAAGAGACTCAACCAACGAGGCAACTAAAACATAATTTGATTCTTTGATTTTAGAAATCTGTCAGTCCGTCTGGTGTGTGCCGCGTATGAGATTTCATAATAACTATCGTGTTTCATGATTTTATAATAACTATCGTAAGACATAACTAAATTAACTAAAAATCGAGGGTTACTCATCGCCGCGATTGCGCACGCTGGTCCTGAGAAAGAACCACTCTGTGGTTCGAAACTAGTATTTTTACATGAGTAATCTGCGATTTATAGTTAATATAACGCGCAGCTGCAGCCAAATGTCATTTAGCTTTTGTCTACATGTAGAATAGAAAACCAAATTATATGTGATTGACGTAAATTTTGACACTTGTCAGTGTCATCCACATACATTTTGATTTCTACTCTCTCTGTAGACAAGCGCTAAAGTGGCGCTTGGCTAAAGGCACAACTGTTATGGTCTATTAACATTTTTGAAATTTCATTTTCCTTATCAAACAACATATGGTTTTCACACAAAATCTTGCTTAACTATTCATCAAAGTAAATATGGACACTAGTACCGAAGCAAGTAATCCATCTTTAGCTGACGTTGGAGTGTAAACATTTTAATATCTCCTGAAGATAGAGCTTACCACGGCTTACCTGGATCTTGCTGGCCGGATTAAGGACAGGCTCAGACGTGCAAACTTTGTTCAGCTTAAGACCTAACATTTACTAGGAGAATGCCTCTTGAAATAGGATTTGTGTGTGAAGATAGTAAATGTGAACGGTTTTGGGAATGATCCTTTTTGATTTTTCACATTTTTTAGGCTTCTTCGATAATTCTCCGTGGGAGCAATGGAGTCTACAATTTTTCAAATAAATATCTATAGGTTTTTTTATGGGACAATCCCGCTACCACCTCCTAAAACCGCTGCAATTATAGATCCTGATCTATAATTAAAAACAACCATGAAAACACCGGAACACTGAAGTCTTGGTGGCCGGCGCGTGACATGAATGGCTTGGATCCCGCAACGAAATAAATCAGAAGATATTAATAGAGCAGAAGAAAAAAGTACAAAAACAAAATTCAAGTACATGTAAGTAGGTCTGCACGCGAGCTGACGGATCGCCTAAAGGTAAGCGATCAGCGCTACCCATGGACGCCACCCGAGCGTACGGCGCGTCGCGTTCCGCGCGCGCCTCAAAGAGCCATCAGACCACCACAGATGGGGCCCAATAGGGCCGATGGCGATTCGGAGTCGCGTAGAACCTAACGGGTAACCGGGGCTCCGGCTCGACGTGCAGGAGAAGGAACGGGGTGGTTTTTAGTCAGTAAGAGTCTGACACTCCCTCTCGCCTCACCCAAGTGGGAGCAGTCATTCGATGATTTTCCCCCATTAAAAAAAAAACCATGGACGCCCATAACAGTAAGGAGTTACAAGTGCTGTACCGGCCTTTGGTAGTGATTTGAGGATTATGAATTAGGGAAGTAGCCTCCAGTAATCTCACTCACGCGAAACACAACGCAAGCATTGTTTCACGTTGGTTTTCTGTGAGGCTGTGGAGTGATAACTCCAGTCAAGCCGACCGATCCGTGCCGAAGCATGGCTGTCCCAGACTTTTGAAGCATGGATCGGATGGATCCCCTACATTTAAGAATATTTTTTGCCAGACTGGGAAGCAACTGCGAACTCTTTAATAAGCTTGAACGTTTTAAACTGTGACCTGCGACCTGCCTCCCATGGGTGAAAATCATGTCAACCCCTTCCTATGTAAACTGTAAAGGAGCCCCATAAGCCAAAAGTAGGAATCTACCTACACCTAAAATTCCTTGATGGAATACCTATACTATCGCGGGCTATCGATGTCAAAGTTGATATTCTGAGAGTCCTATCACATAATCATTATAAGAATCCTATTATAAACTACGTGTTAAAATTAAAAAAATATTTTATACTTAGTATATTCGGTAGCGCCCTCTAGGTATTTTAATCATTAACTAACATGATAATGTAGGCGCCATCTATTGGCATCTGTTGGCATTTTTTGAAACGTAAGAAGTGGCTGTGAAATACGTAGTTCACCAAATAAAACATAGATGTCAGTGTAACAGTTCAAAATGCAAGTAATAGATGGCGATTTACACAAGTTTGTAAAATAAATATATGGAAATAGCTAATTACACTTACGCAACTGTAGTTTTATGGTCATTAAGATTTTAATTTATTGTAATATTATAATTACCCACTTTCTTAATAAGTATAATTAGTACTAAAATCTCTTTTGCACTCGTTGGATAAGTTTAACATAAGTAATGGGGGTTTACTAAACAATTGTGCATTTTGTAATGTAAAATTATTATTACCTACCTACTTTTTTTGAAGTAGGTTATTAATTGCTAAGTCATTTCACTTTTTCTTGATTATGTATTTACTATTTAACCAAATAATTTATTCTCACTTGACTCAGATTTTCCGTATATTCGTGCTTGGATTTAAACAAATAATTTTACTAGCTTCTGTCAGCGGCTTCGCCCGCGTTTAGTCCAGGATTTATGATGTAACTTATGTGTTATTCCAGACCATAACCTACTACTGCTCCTTTCATCTCAATCGCTTCAGCTATCGTGATTGGGTAACAAATGTATGTACCTACGTTTGTTACTCAATCTCTCACACTCAATTTGTGAGTTTGTATGTACAAATTCACAAACTTTCGCATTTATAATATTAGTAAGATATACCTATTACGTGTTACCTTACCTTCATATCACACGCATAAAACGGAACATTAACGAACTCGCGACGCCACCGTTGTCGGTCGTCCAGCCCAGCCAGCACAGGAGAAAAAATGTTTTTTTTTTACAAGGGGGGAAAATCATCGAATGACTGCTCCCGCCTGGGTGAGGCGGGAGGGAGTGTCAGACTCTTACTGACTAAAAACCACCCCGTTCCTTCTCCTGCACGTCGAGCCGGAGCCCCGGTTACCCGTTAGGTTCTCCGCGACTCCGAATCGGCATCGGCCCTACTGGGCCCCATCTGTGGTGGTCTGATGGCTCTTTGAGGCGCGCGCGGAACGCGACGCGCCGTACGCTCGGGTCTGTTTCTGGTCGGACGGGGAGCCACCCATGCTCGCCGTCCGCAGGCCCGCGCTTACGGTGGCCGGAGATCGTCCCGCGATCCCCGACGCCCGGTGTGTCCTTCGCGATGAAAATCCTAGTGTGGGGCAACGTTAAAAACAAAAAAAACAATAAAAAAGTCCCTGTTCTAGCAGTGCACTTTTACTTAAAACTCTTTATTCGATTTATGATCTTTATTGGTTTTTTTTCAAGGGGGGAAATCATCGGATGACTTCTCCCGGCTGGGTGAGTTGGGACTCTTACTGACTAAAAACCACTCCGTTCCTACTCCTACGTAAACATTTACGTTCTCCGCAGCTCCGTATCGGCATCAGCCCTATTGGCACCTATTGGGCTCCATCAGTGGTGGTCTTTGAGGCGCACGCGAGACGCGACGCGCCGTCGTACGCTCGGGATCCTTATAATTGGGTAGCGTTCTTGTTTGAGACCATTAACTTACTAATCTACAGTAGGTTTTAATGAGTTTTCCCGAAATTGGAGATCTAATTACGTTGGTATAGGTTCCTACTTTATCTGTCACGGAGATTAAACCTAAGAATCCTTTGGATTCGAGTATTAAGGTAATCAGCTGTTATGGTGTATTAACATTTTTGAAATTTCACTAGCCTTATCTTTCTAGATCAAAGAAATAATAAAATTATGTTAAAATATTAAATTATTTTATGAATAAATGTATTAAATACTGTTTAATATCTAGGTAGGTACATACATAATGTACTTGTTTACATCAATAAGCATTTAGACCTACTTTACAAAATTAGGTTTTATTTCGCTGTTAATAAGAGTCATTATAGATACCCATACAATTGCAGTATTTATATTGCAGTATTCATTTTAATAGATGTATTATTGTATTGTTTTCACATTTTGTTCTTATTTAAGTAGATTGGTAATTAAATAACTTCAACAGCAATAAAATTATAGTAAAAAGCTTTCTAAGAATTAAAATACACGCATGAAACAAGTGAAACAAGTGAGTTTATTTCTGCAAATAGGCTACAAGGAAGCACTTTTACACGTCAATTTTTTAAGCGAACGATGAGGTCAACATAAATCCTAACTGACAACTCTGATAGGGATACAACGTATATACCAGCAATACAATAAGTAGGTATATGTAGTAGCCTTTGTATTTAATTGCTCAAACGTAACTTTTATTTCTGACACTATAAACTAAAAAGCTTTCTTTCATTTTTAACCGACTTCAAGAAAACGGAGGTTCTCAGTTTGACCTGTATGTATGTTTGTGTGCGTTTATCTCGCAATTCGTCGAACCGATTTTAATGCGGTTTTCAAAAAAGTGTTTGTTTCACTTAGGAGAAGATTTTAGTATATTAATTAACCGACTTCAAAAAGAGGGTATTGAAGTCAGTTTAATTAACGTAGTTTTTAAAAAATCATTATAATAACTATCGTAAGACACTGCATTAATTAAAAAAAACCTTTTACTATTCTATTAAACACTGAGAAAATGCTCTACTAGTTTCGAGTCACAGAGGGACTCTTCTTCATGAGCAACGTGCGCGGTCGCGGCTGATGACATAAACGGCTCGTGTTAGTTCACTGCTGGACTATGATCTGATCATCCCTTACTTTAGTAGTTAATTACATGATTGCACGCAATGGCTGAATCTCCGGCTATTGTGCAACGGCTTGCAGGTTGGTTTGGCTGGAAATAATTTGCATGGTGTGTCGGGGCATAGTATAAAGAACACTATGGTCGGGGTGTGATATAAACTTGTATGTTTCTGTCCTCACCCACTACATAGGAGAAAATCGTAGTGTGGTGCTACAGTTTTTTTTTAATTATCCTTAACCCTTCTACACAATTGACCCTTTAAATTCAATAGAAAAAAGTACTAAGTAGCAACTCAACACGATGCCGTCATTTCCTACAAGGTAGTAAAACTTGGTTTTTAAGGCAATAAATAAATAATAATAAACACACAGGTGTCGTCTGAATGGCTACCGATCAGCGGCATTCCTTCAACTTTGAAAAAAAAAGATTAAAAAGGTCTTTGTCGCATCCAATTTTTTACGCTTCGTCCGGGAATTACGAAACTAGAAAAATAAGTCATGCGATATCATGTTCAGAGTGTCATGAGCGTGAAATATAATCAATTTACGAATGTAAATTAATATTCTATGATTTTTATGGCTTCATTTGGAAAGTTTATTTTTTAACCTTTTTTTGTCGAACGTAACAAAGGAATGAGGAAGCTTGTAAGCAGGTAGGTAAATAAGTAGGTATGTTGGTGTAGGTCAGTGAATTAATGATTTGATTGGTTTTACAAACATTACAAAGGTGCCTACAATCTTTTTGAATAGGATATTAGGTTGTGGGTTGTACATGCATATCTACAGACCAACCTATAGAATTTCTCCCTTGTTCTTCTCCATTGGAATCTACACCTCTGGATGAGCAAATAGCTTCAGTTTTAATTTTTTTGTTGACGTTCCAAAGTACCTTCTGTTCTAATTGAAATAAATGATTTTGACTTTAACTTTGATATAGAAGGACTTAATGTAAAATACTTATTGAATAATAATTTCAGATACCTAGGTAGATTTTTAGTTTCATTGTACTTACAAAGCTACATCCTAAGTATTATACCTAGTAATCCTAAGTTTAAAATCTATTTCATGATTCATTTTAGATATGTAGGTAATAGATATACCTATCCTATTTAGGGAATCATGGTTGGACAAAATTCTTTATTCATCACTTCTCAGGTTAAAATTGACAGATTATAAAAAAAAACTTTAACTTAATCTTATCAGTATCACGTGCAAATCTCGTTAACAATACGATTATGATAACGATCACCCTTGCGACAGCCAGCCGGTTAACATAAACAACAATAAATAAATGACATGAATAGAGTAACGAGCTCTACGAACGTGCGCGTTGTATACGTACGGTTTTGTTTCTGAACGAACGCAGCCCGCCCGCAGCCGGCAGTTTGCGAGCGCATGCGCTGGGTGTCAGACGTGTGGACGTTGTCAAAAATTTCATTTTACGTTTTGACGTTCGTAGTTTCGTAAAAATATTCGCAGTGATAGTGAATTTAATCAATTTCTGACTACAGTTTAGCATAACAATAAGTTAAAATGGAAGGAGGTAACAGGAAGACGAATTCTCGTTTGAATACAATCACGATAGACCGTGATTCTAAGTTTATTCTGCGAAAAATTATTTTGGATTTCGCCATTCTATTTTGTGGTAAGTTTTAACTTGACATTATCAGTTTATTATGATTGATTTTGAAACATTTGTTGGGGGAAACATGGGTATTTACAAATACAACTGGTTTTTATCAGAACCGGCAGTTGTATACAATATTATCGTGCGAATTGTACCTATTGGTACGTTTCATTTATCAACATTAAATTTTAATTTGAATGATCAATACTTCGTACCTAAATTATTTATTTGAATAATGAAACTATATACCAATGTCATAGAAACTTTAAGCGCTTAAATAATAAAGGTATAATTACTGCTGTGACGCTGCTGTAAGTTTCAAACCAATTCCTTATCGTTTTATCAGTAAAACAATTTAAAAATCACATTACTATGTAAACAAAACACACTAACTAGTTAGATAGATCATAAAATTATTACCATGTAAAAAGTACATATTGTCCAATAATTAACCCTAATCTACATAGTAATTAAGTTCAAAATTGTATAATAATAGGAATATAAGTATTATGCAATCATTAATGGGTCATCTCATTAGTTAAATAGAATACTTGCAAATTCCAATTTGAATTTAATAATGAGGTAATTAGATACTTACATACCTACCTACTTAGAAAGTTATGAGTCATCTCATTTTTAAGTTTTTTTAGAGTAACAATAGTTACTTAAACTGTCAAACACCAAGCGGTCACCGGTGACCGCAACCTATTGTTCTTTAATTGTGTCTATAAATACGGTACTCGACGAGTTAATAAATTGACAAATCAATGAATAAATGATACAAAAATAACAACCAAACGAAACAAACTTTAATATAAAAATTGTATAACTTTAAATTATGGCAACATTATATTACATTATTTTAACCTTGAAATTATTTCATTTCACTTACATGAATACAATTTGCCATACAAAATATGAACAAACTGAACAAGATACAATCTGCCTTACGTCCTTGAACTTAAAGTTTAAAATTGTATGTTTTATACCTAAATACAGAAACTTCACTACAGACATCATTAAATTTATTATTTTAGGGAAATTACATTATATAACATCACGCCTTTTATCCCTGAAGGGATAGGCAGAGGTGCACATTACGGCACTTAATGCCATTGTACAATGTAACACTAACTTTTCACTATTTATGTTACGAGTCCCATGTAATAGGAGGTGAGCCTATTGCCATATACCGGGCACAATTCCAGACTCCGTGCTGCTACTGAGTTTAAAATTGTATGTTTTATACTTAACCTGTTGAAAATCATCCTCTAAATTTGTTCATACAAAAGTAGTCTCTAAACATTGGAAATAAGGTCTATAATGTAGTTAGAGGAGAGTGGTCACCGATCACCGCTTGGGATATATGGGTTAAAAAATGAAACTTTAGCCGTCACTGGATTTAATATTTGAAATGAAGTGTCCGTTACATTTATGTTATTTAAAGCTGGTTAATATATTATTATGTAAGTGATTTGTTTACCTCAATTTATTATTCATGTAATAGGTACCTAACTCAATGTAGGTAAAGTTCAACTTTTAAATTTATTAAGGTTCATAATTTGCATGAAAAAAACATTTTATACTATTGACACAATTTTTATTGTATAACACATTTTTTATTTCCAAAAATAATAATAGTTAAGGAATGACATGCCACAGGCTACTTCGCTAGCATGAAATTTAAAAGATATCTCTTAAACATTACCTACTTATTTGAACTGTCAAACACCAAGCGGACACCGGTGACCGCGACCTATTGTTCTTTAATTGTGTCTATAAAACCGGTACTCGACGAGTTAATATCAGGATAAAAACTATGTTATTATATGCCCATGACAGCCTATGTTTCTCTCAACAGTTAAAGCATTCTCATTGTGAAGAGAATTTTTAAATTGACCAATAGCGTAATTACCTATTTACTTAATGTAAAAAAAAAACCTTTGCGCCAATATTGTTTTCAGCCAGTATCATATCAGATTCAAACCAAAGAGGTTTCATACGAATTATAAACACGTTGAACGCCATGGGGGTCACCGGTGACCGGCGTTAGCGGAGGATTTACCTTCAACAGTTTTTTATTGGCAGTCAAAGTCTTAATGTTACCTCCTTGTTTCCGTAGCTTATAATGGCTGACATAACAGAGTTTACTGACACATTAACGTCATGTTACTCTTATGGTTGATGTTACATTGCACTCAACACAGTGCCCCATTGATTGACCAGTCACATTCCCATTCAAACGCTGTACTTGGAAATATTCCGTTTTGCTTCGTATATGGGGCTATTTTTAGACCTTTGACTTGAGTTTAGAAGACTATTTTGAGTTCTAGTAATACCTAGATTTATTTGTTTTGATAAGCTAGAGTCATTTTTGTACCTAATATGTAACTAATTGACTGCCTCGTTGCTTGGCTGTTTGGTCGCAAATACGACTGCCGGGCAAGGAGTCTCGGGTTCGATTCCCGAGCCGGGCAAAGTATTAGTGTTTTTTTTTTAATCTGTCTGGAAATATGCCCGGTATAGCACGAAGTCTGAAACTCACTGCCTATAACATGGGACTCATAAAATAAATAGTGAAAAGTGGGTGTTACATTCTACAGTGGCATTAAGTGCCGTAATCTGCACCTCTGCCTATCCCTTCGGGGATAAAAGGCGTGATGTTATGTTATATTAACTAATTATTTTCTTTATATATAAAGCATAATACATTTGAGAGCACAGAAACAGAGCGTACCGTTTTTTCTTTTGCATTTCTTTATAAATATTATCTGCTCCTACAAGTATTATATCAAATAGTAACACATGTCATATAAATGACAATTTCGTTACCTTTAAAATGAGAGCATTTTATTGTAAAAGGAATATTCTTTTCTTAAATTATAGAGGGTTCGATAAAATGAAAAAAAAACAAGCAGTGGCTCTGTTTATTTGCTTCCAAGATGATTAAATATAAATATGAATCCAATATTGTTGAATAATTTACAATAGCAAAACAGAAAAATTATTATTTTTGTTAAAAACGCTTGCAAATTAAGTGATAGTACTACATATTGTTACAAAAAAATAACAACATATATTTGCTTTAGGTACCAACGTAATTTTTATTCAAGGTTGACGCGCTATCAGTCCGTTTCTTATTTTATTACCAATATTTATGTAAATTAAAAAGGTAAATATTTACCGTAATATAAAGTAGCTACAATATTCAACAACCAACCCTTAGCTAGCGAAAATACGATTCAATTTCGTATGCTTTCATAAGATAATATTGAACTGTTTTACCCGAGTGTAGGAAGGGTATTGTTTTCTTCACACGAGCTTTAAACGGAATTTCCAGGATGGCGTATCGATTATTTCCTCCTCAGGTCATTTTAAGGTGAGGCAAGGTTATGCGCAATCTACAAATCTTACGGACTTAACTTTTTCTAATAGAACGGATTCTCCACCGGGATAAAGTATTAGGCCACACTAGAATTTTGTCCTGTGTTGTATCAACAGCCTATAAATGCCCACTGCTGAGCAAAGCCTCTTCTCACACGAAGAAGGTTTGAGCATTAATCACCCCGCTTGCTCAATGCGGGTTGGCGATTACAAACTTATAATTAGAAATTATAAGCCCAGGTTTCCTCACGATGTTTTCTTTCACCGTTTGTCTTCAATCTTAGAAAGTACATATAACTCGGAAAAAGTCACATTGGTACTTACCGTTGGTAGGTTTCGAACCCGCATTCTCATGCATGAAAAGTCAGCGTCTTAAACCTCTGGGCCACCACGACAACCACCTGGCCACACGATCTGTGTTATAGGTGTGGCGTAATTTCACATAACTATACACATCTAGTCATCTAGGCAAAGAACAACTTACAATATTGTTAGTAACCGAACAAGCGACACGTTGCATTCGATCGCCCAGCTTCTGCGCCAACCGTGAAATCATGCATAGTTTTTCACCTGATTCGGGGAAATTATAGACGTCAATGTCTAATTATGCTATAGTCAATGCATGACAGGCATGATTGAATGCGTGTAGTCTGCTGTTATAATAATTATCGTGAGACGTACTGAATTAACCCCTCAAGCGTCCTTATGAGCACCCAGTGGATCATAAGAAAAAATGCTCCAAATGTCACGTGTGCACCAGTTGGATCATAACGAACGCGGACGCTCGACGGGTTAACTAAAAATGTCTGTTTACACACGTAAATATACTGAGAAAAGCTCTACTAGTTTCGAGTCACAGAGGGACTCTTCCTTATGAACTGCGTGCGCGGTCGCGGCGACGACGTCCCGTTGAGTAAACTGACGTTTTTAGTTAATTCAGTGTGTACTCTGCTTTAGCAAACCACCATAAATGACGATCGCGTGTTTTACCGAACGAATGTAGTTATTTAAGTATTTGTATTTAGTAACGTGCTATTTAGCACTACCATTCACTTGGTCGTTCCCACGCTTCCACTAACTGCCACTAAGTATAGGCGTTTTAGGTAAACTAATGAAATTCTGCCTAGTGAGGACATAGTTACATAGGCGAATGGATTTTCTTGCGAGTGAAATACCTTTTAGTGATTGGGTAAGGGTATTCCAAAAATGCGTTTGGTTGAGTAGACGGTATCGTCAGAATTTCTGGACACGTATGGATGATTGAGTAAAAGAAGTATGGCATAAAAGAAAATACCCAATAGTGGCTAGTGTGTGAACCTGGGCTGATATGATGATGATGAAGCGATGAGTAAAATATGGAGGACTGTTAATGGAGGGTATTGGAGGGTGTAGCAAAAATCTGTACCAACAAGATAACTTCTAGTTACTGAAAACTAAGTTCCTTAAAGATTTTTACATCCAAAACTTTAATGTAAAGAGACGAGCAATCATAATATGTTCCCAACAATACATAACCTATTTATCTAGCATCCATTGCTACCCACTGCCTCTCCCTCCCAAATACCAGGTTCGCAGGAATCGCAGGATGTGAAACATTGCGTACAGAGCCCGTCAGACAAAGTGGCAGGTAATTG